AGCATGTGAGGTTTTGTCTTATCACTTTACTTTAAATACAAGAAAAGTGGCAAAAAGGTGAAAACAAGCATAGCTGTTAGAGGGTTGACATCAAGCCATTTCCATACTAATAGACAAACATTATACAACACAATACACGTTTGAAAAAGACCTGAAACACTCCCAACCAGCAAAACACCAAAAATCTGTCCAAAATTGCAGATTTTGCATAAGCACATCCATCTTCCCTTTGACTCGTGCGTTTTGAGTTTGGATCATTCAAACATCTTACATACTTGATACCTAGCCAATCCAGACCTTCATCCTTGTTCTGTAATCAATCTTCCACCATCTGCCATTGTTAACTTCAGAGCTTGCAGTTTGACTTGGCCAAGGAGTTCCAGCTACTTTCAGAGCAAGGCAAGGGTTGGAATACATCCAGGGAAGTTCAAGGAAGCTCAAACAAGCATCAGGCCTCCATCAAACTCATCCCAGTTTCATCCACGATTTCAACTGAAGGATGTAAAATCTCAAACTCTATCTCCTTGTACAGGCAACCTTAGGCCACGATTTGTGAATAAAAAATGTAGTCCTCATCATAACGAAGTTGTACATACCATTATCTTGCATTGATTTTACTTGAGCTGGGAGAATTTGGAACTTGAAGTTTCTGAAAATATTAGGTCAATATTTAGGACTATTAAAATTCTCTTTTTTCTTTGATTAATAGTTCACATAACTTATATGTTTGGAATCGTGTGCTCAAGTACTACAACTTTCATGTTATGAATTTTCATTTTTATGGAAGTATGAGAGAGTTACAGGATGTCTGGCCAAGCTTAAGGAAGAAGATGAAACAAGGCAAGGACTTGGTTCATGATATGTTATTTTCGTTTCACTTAAGATAATGGAAGTATAGCCACCCCAGTGGCAAAGTAGCGCGCTGGTGAGACCCATGTCCTGGATTCGAACCTGGGCGCGCTACTTTTGTTTTACATTTTGCCATTTTTTTTTTCAGTTTTGACATTTTTGCAGATTGGGCTTAGTCTTTTGGGCGAGGATCCTTTTTGCTAACACATTACCATCAGATATGTTGCATTACCCCCCATGCCAACTTTTATTTTTTTATTTTTTTTATTTGTTTTATTTTCATATTTAATATTTTAAATATAGTCTTTAATGCATAAAAATCCTAAAAATGTGAATTAATAATATTACACTTTTTATTTTATTTTTTTAGTTTATTTCTCACATAAAAATATATTTTATTTGACTAGGATATCATTTATTTTCTTAATAAACTTGTAAATATGATTAAACATATTTAGTTCAATTTATTTTTCATTTCATACTTATAAATACTTATTTTTGTCATATATATAATTTTATATTTTTATACAAGAAAATACACAAAATAATACCTATAAAAACTTTATTTTCTCTTAAAATAATAATTAGGATTAAACCCCTTTTAAAAATTAATCCATTTTCCTTATATTTTTAGGCTTAGATTTAAATTTTCTTTACATAAAAACAAAGCAAAAATTCTTTTCTTACATATACATTGCATTGTATTTTAAATATTGTATTGTATTTATCCTAATTCGTACCAATTCGACTTGGTTGTAATAATTTATTTAGGTTTATATTCTTGCAAATCCCCATTCAAATTTGTATTCCCCCCTCCCGTAAATTGTTGTAATAGCTTAGAAATATTTACATTACGCAATTTATCGCTTTACATGCCATGATTAGTAATTAGGATTTGTATGATAAGAACAAAACAAAGCAAAATAGAAAACTCTAAATACAAGACAAAATCAAAGCATGAAAATGATACACTTTCACACAAGCACCCTTAGGGTTTTTCTACTTGGTTGCCTAAAACAAAAATGGTCATATTACGCATGCGAAGTATCTTGGCAAAACAAACAAACATAAAAAGATCATAGTCCCTCGATGACGCTATTCAAAAAGTTGCCTTACAAAAATGATCTTGGTCCCTCAAAATGCTAAGATACTTTGCAATCATTGCTAATCATGGTTAAACAATGACCCGCGCCCGTCCCGTTTACATCCAAAGATAGAGTTGCTTACCAAATTAATGGTAAGACAACAATGTCAAAGGAATAGAAAATGCACAAGAAAGACATTTGAGTAGGTAGATGGCTTCTAGTTACTTGCTCCATTTCAAACAACTATCTTTTCTATTTTCAAAACAAACACACACATTTCAAAACATCTTATGATCATTGAAAACATTTTCAAAAAGACAAACATCTTTGTATACATTCTTACGAACGAGAATCATTACAAAGATTGCCTAAACGAATGGCGTCTTTTATAAAATACTTTCAAAACCATACCAAGCACAATTTCAAACAACAAAAGCAAGTGATCTAAGCAAGTAAATAAGAGCCCATGGAAAACCATGGATGAAAAGGGTGCTAGCACCTTCCCTTTCCATAATCTACCCCCGAACTCAAGAAATAATCTCAAAGGTATTTCCTGTGCTTTTTCACCTTTCCTTTTGGATAAAAGAAAAGTCGATTGCGACTCTTGCTAATCGCAACATTTGCGATAAAATGCAAAAACCTCAAGTCAGTTCTCCCACCGTATCACAGTAAGGCATGGGAGGATAAAAATAGGATTGATGAAGTAGTTGAAGGGGATGCATTGAAGCAATACTCCATGTTATGGAGCTATGCTGCAGAGTTGAGAAAGCAATGTGCTGTGAATAAAGTGAAAATAAATATTGATAGGCCACTTCCAAGTAATTTTCCACTAATGTTTGAGAGATTCTATTTTGTTTTGATGGATGCAAGAAGGGATTTGTTAAGGGATGTAGACCTTTCATAGGAGTTGATGGGTGTCACCTCAAAACAAAGTATGGTGGACAGTTGTTGGTTGTTGTAGTCAGAGATCCAAATGACCAGTACTACTCATTGAAATTTGGACAAATATGTAATGTCAACTGTTATCTTATGATGTTATTTTAGACAAATGTATTATGCTAGTTGTAATGTCATCTTGGAAAACCATATTTTTTGTAACAACTATTATGGTATTATGCCTTTATTTATCAATGAGACCTAATGTATTTTGTAACAACTAGTGTCATCAATTTTGTTGTAAATATATGGTATTATGCCTTTATTTGGACCAAGTTGTGTCATATTATGTTGTTATGGTATGCTTTTATTTGATACAAAATAAACCCAGACCATTCAAATTGTAAACAAAACTATTGCATAACAAACATTCATAACTTAGATTTTGGATCAATCACTAATTCATTTCAAATCAAACTTTTTGTTTACAAATGATTGTTACAATACAACAACAACATATAAGATTACACTAACATTATGCCAAAGTAAACTCAGGAACATATAAGTACAACAATACAAAAACTAATTTCTTCCTTGGGTTCCCCAGCTTATTCTTCAAACTTTCCATCTCCTTTGAACTGATTTTGAATCCAAATTCCTTTCTAAAATCTCGCCCAAATTGTCTCAAATACTCAATCATTACATCACACGATTGCATCCATCATCAGCTTGTACAATTCGTTTCCTATCAATTGAGTCAAAGTATTCATCATCTCAATAAAATTTCTGACAATCTTCTTCTTTCCCCAAATATTTGCACTTCCAGTATTTTCTCCCTGGATTTGCAGCAGATTTGGAAACAAAAACCTTCATTGACATTTCGTGTCCATATTTAAGAGATATTCTGGCATTAGATGACATGATGTTCCTCGAACTCCCAGTCATTACTCAGAGAAACGCGATGGAAGTGAAAGCGAAATTGCATAAGGAAAGTGGTGGACGAATATAGTATGAAGAAGGAAGAAGAAGAACACGATGAGAAGAAATCAAATTAGGGTTCATGTTAATTTAAATGAAAAAAAAGGTTATAATAAAGATAAATAAATGACATGTGAAATTGGTGTAAGGATTTAATTTAAAAAAATAGTCATCTCAACAAAGCCACGTAAGTCATTTGGCTGACCTGGTTTAATGAAGGATGAAAATAGTGGAATCTCTAAATGACACGGTGGGAATTTAATTTTTTTTACAGGATTATTTTTCAAAATTCGTCTAAATGGCATAAGACGAAATGACTATTAACCCTATTTTTAATTATTAAAATTATATTTTTTTATTTAAACCTATTTTTTAATTAGAATAAGGTCTCCAAATTAATTGATTTGGCCCTGTCTAAACACTTATACTTAAATTATGTTTAGATTAAATTAAAATTAAAATAGAATCATAGTTATTCTTAGAGTCTCATCTATGTTATTCTTTAGATCTGATCAAGTTGTTTTTAAAATTTCAGACAAATTACTATGAGAATTTCACCAAGTCTAGATAAATATTGATTAGAGAATTCGGTAAGATGAAGTGAATAAAATTTGAAATTTCTAGTAAAAATCAAGTGAGAAATAATTCTTATCCCACGTTGTTTATTATTTTAATTCAGGAACGAGATTTCAATATCGACAAGACGGAGCAACTAAAGAATCAAAAATAGAAGATTAGATAATTATATATTATGATTTAAAAGTAAAATTGTTAATCATGTTGTATTTTATTACTTTTACTTATTTTATTTTTCCTCAAAGACCGTCCTACCAATTCAAGTACTAAAGAACCACTTTTGAATAGTTTTAAGATAAACACTATAATAATTTATAATTTGGAATAAAAAAGAAAGAAAAACAGAAGAATAATAAAGAATATATAGTACAAGTGAAATTGCACATAGTATATATGTAGTGATAATATATTCACATTAGGAGTAATCAGTATCATCCTTGGTAGACTTCCTTTTAAAGGTTATAATTAATACCTTATCTTGTAATGGACTGCATAATTGAATTGCAATTTGGCACAAATATTTTTATTTTTGCCATATTAAAGGTGCAAAATATTCACTAACTGCTATGCATGCTATTCCATTATTGAAGGCATGTCATGTCTTCCATGTTTGATCTTTCCATTATAGGGAGGAAGCTAAAGATCAAAGCTATGACTGTGGAAATGGAAGATGGGATGATAACTTTGTCTTGTCAAACTATGTGACCTGATTTCTTGTGCAACACTTGATTGAAGAGTTGGAGGACCACAAACTATAACACCAACATCAACATGCCCCCATTTCTCTGACATCAATTCAAAAATGTCTGCAACATAGGCATCATTATTAGTAATCGTCTCATAAGGTTTTGAGTTTTGTATTGTAGATTTTAAAAAATCAAAACTATCATGAAAACATACCTTTAAAGTCTGGCCTAGAACCATATCGAACATCGGTTAACTTTGCAAGATTGTCTCGACTTGGATCCTTGGAAGCTACATTGCCATTTTCCGCGATTTTATCAACCTTAATGTTATTGGAATTATCCTTGAGAGAACTTTGCTTTTCCCACATATGCCAAAATCCAACCACTATGCCACCAAAGATAACAACACTTGCAACCATGCAGACTACAAATAGTAGCCCTTTGTACCACCATTTATACACACCAAATGGATTTATATAGTAAATATTCAACAAGGCAAGTAAGATCACAAAGCCCAAGGTAGATGAAATGACATATAGTCCTGACCAAAAATTGTTTCCTGTACCAACCAAACCCGACATTCCGTAATCGCTAGGCATTGGGAAGGGACAGAGTGAAGATTTTATTGGTTTGAAAATGTATCCCTCTTCCTGCAGATGATAACAATCAAGTTGTTAGAACAACAACTGTGGTTCAAAAATAAACAAATACGAAAAAATGAAAATAAGAGAATCACAAAGTTAGGCTAATTGTGCATAGAAAACTAAAAAACTGTATATAGAAAGCTAGACTAACCAATGGAGGATCTGATTCTCGAGTGACGAAAATATGTATATTGATATTCACTTTATCAGAAAAGTTTGGACAGATTGTTTCCATGTCAACGGTCGAAAGAAGTGGAAGCTCGTTTGATTTTTTCACTGCCCAAACAATTAAAACATTTCTTGGTCTACAAGGTTTCCCCTCCCTCACACGGTGGAGAATATCGCTCAATATAGCAAGGAAAGGCGAAAGTCCAATACCACCAGCCACTAATATAAGATTTTCATACCTAAGAGCACAAAACGAACATATCAATTCGTTAGTTGAAGAAGTAAGAACTAACAAAATGGACATGTAGCAAACTTACATCAAGTGGTATGGTACTTCATGTCCATACGGACCCTCAACGGAAGCTGTTACCACGGTATTAGGCTTAACAGATAAATCCTCTGGTGCATCAACATTAGTGATGCTTTCTCTTAATCTCCCAGTCCATTTTCCTAGAACCTTTATGAGAACTGCAATGTGATTATTTCCATCCAAAGGGCTAGAAGAAACACTGAATGGATGCCACTGCAGCCACGATAGTTCCCGAACTTGAAGGAAAATGAAGCTTAGTGCATTGTATCTCAAATCTACAATTTTCAAAAGATATATTGTCACTGATATGGAAATAATGGTACACAAATTTGAGCATAAAAAATGCTATGAGAAGTATAATTACTTTGAGGTTTTGATAGAACCATTTCCACGGTACCGCACGGCAGGCACCTCGACGAGATAACATTAACTGTCCTTCTTGATTGGCAGAACCTCAGGAACCGGTCGAGCACAAATAGAAATATCGGTCCAGCAGCCATAGCGAAAATAAAGTCGCCAATATGGAAAGCCATAAAGACGATAAAGACTACGTATAATTGGTGAGTATAGAAAAACAACTCGAAATTCCATTTTCGCACTCCAGGAAGCGAGGTCACCCACATCAACAAACCACCTACAAGGCTGATAACTCCTGCAAGATTGGCAACACCAATATCTTTCCATTCTAATAACTGCAAAGAAAGACCAAATTGTATAAAGATAAGGAAATAACTATCTTGATTTTCACCACTAATCAGAAACTAAATATGAAGTATTATACATAAAAAAATGAACAGATCCATCAAAGAAGACTCACTTCTTTAATTAGTCGACCTTCCATTAGCCACACAATAGCAAAGAAGAGTCCATGGAGAGTAAAAAGCACCATTGTGAGGTGTCCTAGCCATACATGATATTTTGTAGCATGTTCAAAAGGGATATCTATGAAACGGAGAAGAACCGATCCCCTTGAAATCGGAAGAAATAAAAACGCCAAGCACACTAATCCAATTGCACCCAAACGAGATCCCATAACATCCAACATGAGCAAGCTGAAAAAAAGCAAGTAAGCCAGGTAAATTAGCTTCAAGTTTAAAACTACATGATCATTGTAAAGGTTCTATGCCAAACACTCACTCATGCCAACAACTATTGTCAGCAAGATTGTCAAGATCGGGATCTTGCATATGATCAGGAGGGGATAGTAAGATCCTAAAACATAATATCATAACTAAGATCGGAAGATTCTACCCAATTATTTTTGCAAGATCAGGAGGGGTAACAAGATCGTAAAACATAACAAAAATCGTAAGATATTTCTAAAACAAAAAGTAATACTATATATTCGAAGTGTTTTCCATGATATTTTGGTAGGTTGGCAAGTGTATTTGTGGGAAAATGGCCTCCACCGAACCGTAACTTTTGTGCCTCAACTTCTTGTCGTCCTTCTCAGCTTGTAATGGTGGTGATCACAAAACGGTGGATCGAGGCCAGAACTAGCCAAGATTGCAAATAATAAATGGGAGTAAACTGCAGTAGTACCTCTGGGCTCTAAAAGATAACTGATCAGACATATCTGCAAGAGCCTGCATAACATAAGCAGAGAAAGCCCAAATAACATATGCTACAAAAATAACAATCCCAATGAATTCTGTAGCAGAAACCACCCCAAACGGTCCATTGATAAGCAGAGGAAAAGTCCATAGGCGAAATCTTGGATACTTGGAACTCTTCTTCCTACCATAAAAATCCAAAACATTATCAAAATGCAAAACACAAAGATGTATCGAATCATTACAGAAATAGAAAAGGTTGTAGAAGTGACATACTCAGGAAGCTGATCCTCCCCAGAAATAATCAGGTGTGCAATGGCAAGGAATGCAATTGCAAGAACAGGAACACTGTGGCTCATTAAAATGCTTCCTGCATAAACAACACACAGGTAGTAGTTAGCTTTGAACTCAAGCTACATGGTAAAACAAAAAAACAAAAAGCAATAAATCAGAAAAGAGGAACATAAGTATATTATAACCTGTAACTCCAAAGGAAGTTCCACGGCTGAAAATAAGCCAGTTTACGAACAATTTATGAACAGGTTCTGATGGTAACAGAAAAATGAAAGCAGCCCATAAAACAAAGATTATGAAAATCAAAGTCCTAAGAGTCCATTTGGTAGCTGACAGAACAAAAGGTGACATCTTTCTGACACAACCATAATCAGTTTCATCAGCTTGTTTAGAAAGCAAAGGACTATTATAATCAAGAGAGTTTTTCGCCATGGAAAAAAGAAAATGCTCAAATTAGTAAAGAGTGTTATACTCCAATGTAGTTCTTGATAAAGAACTCAACATATAGAAATACTAAGTGGGAGAAGGAAAAAGATAACAACTTTGTGGAACCCATGATGAAATGAAGTTAGAAATATGAGGATCACAAAAACGGGTTAAGAAGTTATGGACCACTAAAATGAAATTTAGTGCAAAGATAATAGAGTATCCTGGTAGTGTTGGTGAAACGACACATACACATTGTTGGTTGTACACAAAAGAGGATACGTGCCTTGGTGAAGGGGCAATTATGAACAAGAGAACAAATTATGAACAAGTGATAATGTTTTTTTTGTAGCAATTAAGGTAATGACGTTAGTGATTCACATAAATCTTAGTAGATATTGTTGCAATATTTATCATTATTAATGAATATATTAAAATCTTATTAATTATAGTTGTTAAATCTCTTAAGAAATTTTTTGAAATCAAAACTAAAATTAATTTAGTAATTATTAATATTAATATTAATTTACTTATTTGTTATTAATTTATTTATTATTAACTAAAACCGCTCATTTTTATAATTTAAGAATTTTTTTTATTTATTATTAACTAAAATCATTCATTCCTATAATTTAGAAATTTATTTATTTATTAATTTTCTAAAATTTTATCAAACTTATTTATTTATTTCTTAAAATTGTGAATTTAAAAAAAAAAATATTTCAACATTCTAAAATTTAAACACTTTTTGTCACGAGTCATCTTCATAATTTATTTTATTAATATTTATGATTTGTTTTATTTATTATTAACTAAAATCACTCATTTTCATAATTTAAAATTTTATTTAATTATTTATTTTCAAAAAATATGGATTTGAAAAACCATCACTCCCACATCCAATATTTTAAGTCTCTTATTAATTTTAGTTATTAAATCTCTTAAGAAATTTTTTGAAACCAAAACTTAGATTAATTTAGTAATTATTAATATTAGTTAATTTATTTATTATTGTTTTATTTATTATTAATTAAAATCACTCATTTTCATTATTTAAGAATTTATTTTTTATTTTATTAATTATTAACTAAAACCATCAATTCTCATAATCTAAGAATTGATTTATTTATTAATTTTTTAAAATGTGGCAAACTTATTTATTTATTTATTTATTTTCTATAATTATGAATTTGACAAACCATCATTTCAACATTCTAAAATTTAAGTATTTTTTCCACTAGTCACAATTTATTTTATTAATATTTATCATTTGTTTTATTTATTAATAACTAAAATCACTAATTTTTAATAATTTAAAGATTTATTTATTTATTAATTTTTTAAAAGCGTGGATTTAAAAAATCATCATTCCCGCATCCAACATTTTAAATCTCTTATTTATTAAAGTTCTTAAGTCTCTTAAGAAATTTGTTAAAGTCAAAATTAAAATTAATTTAATAATTATTAATATTTATTTATTTACTTATTTATTTATTATTTGTTTATTTATTATTAACTAAAATCACTCATTTTCATAATTTAAGAATTTATTTTTTATTTTATTTATTATTAACTAAAACCACTCATTCCCATAATTTAAAGATTAATTAATTTATTAATTTTCTGAAATTGTGGCGAATTTGTTTATTTATTTTTTAAAATTGTGGATTTGAAAAATCGTCGTTTTAGCATTCCAAAGTTTAAGCATATTTTCGATTATTTTATATATTTTGTGTTTTTCAAGGATTAACATAGTGCAACGGATGAACACATAATTAAGATATTTTTCGATTATGTTGTCTCATTACTATTAATATTTTATAATTTGTCTTTGTTTTTTTGTTTTTATTTTTTTTTATTCTTAATTTTTTGATTATCGGAGAATTAAATTTTTTTTAGGTATAAATTTGTTATAAAAGAAGAATTAATGAAAGAAAGCGAATTGAAATAATTGTGTGATTGACATTATATATGAATGGTGATTATATTGTGTATTTTATTAACTTTTAAATTTTTATTTATTTATATTCTCAGTTTTATTATTGTTTTAATTTTAAAAAATATATAAATTTTGACATCACAAAATGCATTTTTATAAATAAAAAGTGATCTGACCTGATCAGAAGGTTTGGACCGTCACGGCTTACTCCGAGCTGAAGGCTTTTTGAACGAGGAGGGGGGGGTACCTGCAAGGCACTCTGATGCTAAAGTCAGTGGGAGTACGAGCAGATAATAGAGTTGAGGTTAGAATGATGAATACCTGACCCTCTGGAAACAGAGGGTATTTATAGCCCCCAGCGCTGGGCCAAGGTTCCTTCATTGGGCCGGGCGGATTTGGCCCAATGGAGGAACTGCCAGGTTCTACGTGGGTAGTGGGGACCAGCACGTGGTCCCCTTCCTGGATGTGTTGCGTGAAGTGCGGGCGGACAGAGACGCGGTCTTTCCGGAGTATCGTTGGGGTAACGGTGGACTGAGTCTGCCCTAGCCAGGTAGCTCGAGATCATGTCGAGCTGCGCTGCACGGTGCCGAGCTCGACGCCAAGACGTCGAGCTGAACAGCGAGTGTCGAGCTGGACGTCAGGACATAGAGTCGGACGGCAGGGTGTCGAGCATGACTTCACTGCGTGGGGCTGGACATTGAGATGTCGAGGTGGACATCAGGTGTCGGGCATGGACGCGACCCCCTTTGCCCAGTGTGGTCCTTAGTGAGTCCCTTTGGACTGGGCCTTAGTAATGCTTTTGGGCCTGTCGGGCCCAGTCCAGAACAGGAGCCCCCCAAGTCGTGGTTCCTTTGCGAGGAGCCATGACTTGAAACAAAGTTGTTCCGTCGCTGAGGTCTCGTGCCCGGGATGGAGGCGTGGACCCTCGAGGGGTCTCCTCGTGTCGTGCTCGGAGACGTCCTCGGTGGTAGATGCGTGGAGGATCCGTACCGGGCGCGTCAGTCGAGCACACGAGGCATCTTTCGGGAGTTATGCCGCCACCCTAGGGGGGTAGGGCCATCATTGCGTTGGGAGCATTGCGTCGAGGAGATGGAGTCCGTGTTTGAACGAGGTGACGTTTGGTATTCCACGTCACCACCATAAATAGGGTCCTTGGGCCCCATAATACGTTTTCCGTTCTCCGTGCTCTCTCCGTTGCCGCTCTCAACACTTTCTCCAGTTGTGACTTCTCGTCTCAGATTCTTCATTTCTTAGCCAAATCCCAACTTTGATCCAAGTAAGTGATCTACTTTCTTGATCTTTCCGTTTTAGAATGCATGATTCCTGGAATTTGTAGATGTTTTAGGATCGTGCGCGTGGGATTAGCCCGGTAGATTCGTGTTTTGCCCGACATATTCATGTCTAGGACCGGCAAACGCATACTTGTGGCCGACACATTCATAGTTTTAGGTGAAAAACTTCAGAGCTGCCCGGGGTCTTCATGATCCGGGCGCCTAATTCATGACCGTGCCCGGTATGTTCATGGTCGTGGCCGTGGGCTTCATAGTGCGGCTCGCCATGTTCATACCTCGGGTCGACATGCTTGGAGAGTGGCCGCGCAGTTGGTTTGAGGAAGAACACTGGGTTCAGGAGATTCGGGGAGACTTCCACTTGTGAAAACGGACTTGTGTAGTAGTGTATGGACGACATGATTATGTCGAGCATAGGACTTCATGCTCAATCTGATTGGTTTCCCGTGCTCTGCAGGTAACCATGGCGGATGAGCCGAGCTCCTCCGGTCGTCGTGATCGCGAAGAACAGAGTGCCGACGAGTCGGCCACCCTTATAGATACCGTGACCGACCCATCGCTGGAATGGGTGGGTGTCGAGCCTCGGGGGACAGCGTCGATATACAGTCGGGATGACCGACATCCATTCACCGCTATTGAAGAGGGTCAGGACCAGCCCGACTTCCAGCAGAATTTCGTGGTCATGCTTCCGTCGACCAATGCAAGAATTTGTTCAATGTACCCGGACTACAGCTTTGCGATGTATGAGATCGCGTTTAAGGACTTAGGGCTGCGGCTGCCGTTCACAGATTTTCAGACCGGAGTCTTTATGCATTTGGAGCTGGCCCCGTCCCAGCTACACCCAAACTCTCTCGCCTTCATCCGGGCGTTTGAGTTGACGTGTCGCTACTTGAGGATAGGGGCGACCATCCCTCTTTTCTTTCGGGTCTTTCACCTACAGCGTCAGTCCCGAGGAGGGAAGCACAGCTGGGTGTCCCTGAAGCAGTCGAGGAGACTGTTTAAGATGTATATGGACTCTGTGAGGGGGTTCAAGGACAAGTGGTATGTGGTACGCCCTGTTACCGACTCTGCTGTAGATTCCCTCTTCGAGGAGGAAGGGCCAGTCAGCGATGATGACGGGGAAGCGATGGTGGCCGACGACGGGAGCCCCGTGTTAGGACGTCGGGCTAAGTTCCCGGTGTACTGGATGTCCCGACATTACGAGCATGGGACAGGTTATTTCCATACCGCTGTCGGGGACATGTGCCCGGAAGATCAGCGGTCGTACAAGGCTCTTTGCCGGTTTGTCGACAGTTTTCATCCCGCCCAGTGGGTTACGCGGGAAGGGGATGATATCCTCGACAAAGACGGTTACCCGACATTCGAGTCTCGCCCGATCGACACCAAGGCGCTGGTGGAATGTTCGACATATAGGCAGGCAGCCCGCCTGTTAGGTTGTTTGTTTGAAATTCTTTATTCGTCATTTATTTACGCGGTTTGCTCGATACTGACTTTTCCTTTACTTCGTGCAGGTACGATGGCCAGCCGACATGAAAGGCTCCTGAAATTGTCAACCGGCCAGAGGCGAGGCAAGAGGGTCGTGCAGGCCCCGCAGACGACGAGAATGGGACCACCACCAAGTCTGAACGCTCCTCAGCCGGTGAGGGTGGATTCGACGTCGAGCTCGGGAGCAGCGTCAGATCCAGAGGTCGAGGAGATTGACCCCAGCGCCGTTTTGACGCAGAGGAAGAGGACCCGCGTGGAAGGCGGTTCGACTGTCGGGGAGGATGTCGGAGCTG